TAAAGAGAAAAAAAAAAAAGAAAACTCTAAAAAAACAAAAAAAAAAAAAAAAAAAAAAAAAAAAAAAAAAAAAAAAAACGACAATCAGAGAAGACAGAGAACAAAGGAAGAAACGAACTCAAATAAGTGGGGACATTAACAGGAATAAACGACAACAAATATATATTATAGATATAGATATAAACCAAGTCGATATTGCACATAGACACCAGAAGGAATGAATGTAACACAAGTTAAAACACAACAAAAAAGACGAAAATGACACTAATATTTGCCAGCGGCGGAGGGAGGTGAGGCCGGGGGGGCTTATTTTTTGATATTTGAATTTTAGTACGTGGTTTTTCAAAAACTTTTCATATCGATAAATGTTTTTGAATATGTCCACACAAAATTCAATCTCAATTTTTTTGTCTTACTGTTCTTTTGGTCTTTTCTTATTAAATCTTATACTTTTAGATGTACCTAACTGAATTATTTTTTCCCTAATTTATTATTATAAAAACAATTTTCTTTCAAATTGGTCCAATCTAAAACACTTTTTTAATATAATCTGAGCTATATTAAAAGTGATCCGTTAAAATATTTTTTCTCAAATGTATCCCTAATAAAAAAAATTTCTTTCAAACAACTCTCTGAATTATTATTTCTCATTAACACATTTTTTTTTTAATTTGCCCTTCTTGAAATAATATATATATTTCAAATGTGCCTTACATACTTAAAGATCTTTTTTTTTATGACATTCTCAACTACTTTTTTCTCATATGTATGTACATTCTAAACAAATTTTTTAATCTAATTTACTTGTTAAATTTTTTATTATTTTAATATTTTCTATTTGTCTATACATATATAATTGATTTATTAACATTTTTCACATTTTTAGTTTATGTACCCTGAATCAAAATCCTAGCTCCACTGAATATTGCACACTGCAAGAGGACACCAAAAGCTAAGAAAGACGCAGGAATAAACAATCTTAAGGCAATTGATTAGCAATAAATAAATAAATAAATAAAGCAAGGGAAATAAGCGAAAATATTAAAATAAAAACGACAACAACGCAGAAACGACTCTAATGTAAGAAACGGCAATTAATTAAAAACGACATCAAAGAAGAGAGCGACACCATTACCTAAAAAAACGATGAGAAGCAACAAAAATAAGTTAACGATACGAAAAATCATTCACGAAAATAATTAAATAATTAAAAGAAAACAAGCACCAAAAAGAAGAAACTCGCTCCAAGTTTTTTTTTTTTTTTTTTTTTTTTTTTTAAAAAAAAAAAAAAAAAAACACCAAAAAAAAAAAACCCCCCCCAATTTTTTTTTTTTTTTTTTTAAAAAAAAAAAAAAAAAAACACCAAAAAAAAAAAACCCCCCCCAATTTTTTTTTTTTTTTTTTTTTTTTTTTTGAAATGAAAACTCCAAGTTAAATGAAAGTGACACAGAACAAACATTAACAAATGTGATAATGATTGAGATGAGGGAATAACACGAAAATAATTAATGAAATAAGTAAATGACACCAAAAGGAATGAATGGCAGCATAGGCGAAAGCATCAAGGGATGTTTGGTTGGAGGATTCAAACCATAATTTAAATCATAGTTCATGATTCACTACAGTGTTTTCTCTCACAAAAAATATACGTAAATCAAAAATAGTTCTAATCACATGATTCTAATCCATGAACCAAACATCTCCTAAGATTAGTGAACGACAGAAAAGGCGGGATTGAGAAAAAATTAAAACGACAATTAGTTGAAAATGACAACAAAGTAAACTGCCCGGTGAGAAGTAAACAACGTTAAATTTAATAAACGACTCCAAAGGGAATAAATGACCCCAGGTCCCCAACTTAATATTTGACATTAAAAAAATGATGATAAAACCTAAAACACGGCACGTTAGAACAAAACGAAACATAAATTGCATATTAACTAACTAGATGCAGTTTTAAGCTAAGATGTTCAATGTCGTTTACTCAAGAAAGTTATACAGAATACAGATGTAGTGTCCGTAACATTTTTTCAATTGTTTACCATACAAAACGACATATCTTTTCGCAAAAAAAAAAAAAAAAAAGTTTGTTACTGTTAAAAAGACGAAATTACGTGTTGCTCTCCAGTGTGTACTAAAATTTTTTTTAAAAAAAAAAAAAAAAAAAAAAAACACGAATTTGATTCCCCATTTCCCACCATAACCTGAAATGTCTTTATTTAGTCCGCTGTCCTTCCTGTCTTACTATCTTTCAGTTTGAAAATGCCGTTTTCAGTGAGAGAAACGACATGAAGTCTAACACAGTTGTCGTTTGGTCTTTAGCCTTTTTCTTTTCCCCTTCATACTCTAATAAAAACACATTTCCTTCTACTTTCTTTTTCTTTTTTTCATAGATTTTAATTTATTTTTTGCAAAATGATTGATACAAAATTTTTTTTATTTTTTTTTGTTAAAATGAAATTTTACTAATGTACTGCTGAGATGGTTAAATTGGCCCAAATAATTTCATTCATCTTTTCAACACAGACGTTCGGAGAATTTTTTTATTTTATTTTAAAAAAGATGGAAAAGCTAGCACTAAATGTAAAGATATTATTGGGAATGAATTCCTATAATTATAATAACGATTCAAAGCGTATAATATATATATATATATATCCAAGATTTATGATTGCCTTCTTTGCTCTGGTAAAGAAAGAACGATACCTCAAGCTTGTTATGCTCTCCAAGTGCGAAATCCGCAGCAGCTAAAAAAATACATTAAAAGCGGAAAATACAAGAATTAGTAGCTTTTTAGTGGCTGGATGCTATAGAGCTATAACATGTGTTAAAAGAAAATAGAATTGTTTTCATCAAAGATGTGAAAACAGAGCAAGTGAGAACAAAAAAAAAAAAAAAAAAGCAAATGACTAATAACTTTTTTGGCTTCATGGTTTAAGGACTTGTTCTTTTAGAGTTTAACTTGAGTATAATTCTTGAGTTGAATTTGAGTTATAATTTAAGTTGAACTTGTAACTTGAGTTTGTGTTTTATTGTGTACATTTGAGTTATGGTTTGAGATAAGAATCTTTTTAAGTTTGTGTTTGAGTGAGTCAAAATTTAAATTTGTATTTAGATAGTATTTTAATAAAAACTCAATGCTGATGAAAATTTTTAATAGGATATATGAGTCGGGTTTTATTCGTCTTTTCGTTGTCAACGTATAGAAAAAAAAAATCATCTCAATCAGAATTAAAACGAAAAAGTTATAGCATTTTTAAGAATAGAAAAAATATTGTTCATTAATTTGAGTTCGCGTTTCTAAATTCGAGTTGAAGGGGAAACTTGAACTTGAGTTTTAATCCTAAATTCGAGTTTGAATTCGAGTTTAAATTTAAAAAAAAACATAAAATTAAATAAAATTATAATTTGAGTTAATTTTTTTAAATTTTTTACTCAAAAAGAACAAATGAATACACCCCGAGGTACTTTTTAATCTTTTGAATCGTCGTAAATTTAGGTCTCATTAATTTAGAATTTAAATTTTATTTAAAATTAAAATTAATTGAAAGACGGGGAATGAGATCACCTGTTCAAAAATTACTGTCCGAAACTCCGTCCGCCCAATAAAATAACGCCACATCATTAATGGGTTTAAGGTACAGTTATGGGATAACTCCGTTTCATAACGATGGGAATCGAACGTGAGTTTCCATTACATTTCTTTTTTCTAGTAAATAAAAAAAAAAAAAAAAAAGAAGCAAATGGTTTCCATCTGTCATTGAGGATCAAAAAGGTAAAAGATTACTCCAGTCCAACCGTCCAAATTACATTCACAGGCCTCTATAATTCCAACTATTGAAAAGGAATTAATTCATGAATCAATTATTTTTGGAATAAAAGGATATATATATCTTCCTCCCTTCCCAATTCGCTGCCTTTCCCACCTTCTGTAATAGTAATAGTTACTGAGTTTAAAATTTAATTTTTATTATAATAAAAAAAATTTAAAAATAATTAAATTTAAATTTTTTATTAAAATAAAAAATATGTATATAAAATTACGTTTAAATTTAAATTAAAAATTTAAATTAGCGAATTAAATGACGTTAAATTCCGCTTGGTTCCGTCCATCTCGATGGGCGGTGTTTCCTCCGACGGTCTCACAGACGAGATTTTTACTCTCTTAATCAGTTCCGTCTAAACTCCCTCGATCATTTTCAATAATTTTGATCGTCCAAAACTTCATGCCGTGGCTGCAAAACACCAATCCAAACTCCACTGCCTCCACCATTTTCACAGAAAAGATCGAAAGAACACTTCTTTCCTCATATAAACCCAAAATCCTATGCTGAAACCGAAATACGACATTAGAACCATAATATTGCCGTTGTTCGATCTTTAACCGCCGTCGTCGTCTCTGTTGCCTTTAGATCTGTACCGCCGTCGCCGCCGCCGCCTTTCCCGAGAGAACTCTTCTGGTTCCGCCGATCAACATGGTGGTTTGAGTCGTAAAAGGTGAACACTCGGAAGAGAAAAGAAAGGGGAGAAAAATAAACGGAGTTAACCCATAACTGTATCTTGGCGTTACTTTATTGAGTAGACAGGGTTTGGGACAGCAATTTTTGGGGAGGTGATCTCAGTCCGAAAGACGGTGTTAGATTTTTTTAACGGTTTTTCCATTTTAAGGAGGGCATTCTGGTCCTTTTGGTCAATTCGGAAATTAACCTCCAAAAAAAATATAAAACAAAAAGCTCAATCCCCATCCTCTTCCTTCACTGCTATGAGTTGCAACTTTTCAAATGTTCCATCTTCTAAAAACCCAACGTCTTCCCTATGAGCATAACATAATTCAGCAAAGAGATTAAATGCCCGTTTAGTTCGCTGATTTGAGTTTTTAATTCGAGTTAAAATATAATTTTATATAAAAAATTTTTACTGCAATAAAAAAGTTAGATATGACTGATAATTTTTTACTATAACAAAACTCGAATCGGTAAAATGAACGAGACTTAAACATAACAAACATTTTAACAAAACGAAACCCAAATTTTAATCCACATAGAGTTTCATCGTTCTTCAATTTCAAGCAACAAGGTAAAAAGACAGATCAAATCAGACCTTTCTTAAAAAAAAAAAAAAAATGTCAAGCTCTAGTTAGGAAATTTAAGCGTCCTCTATTAACAATGTACAACTAGTTAAAGCCTACTGTTTTGGTTACCATCCCCAAAAATAAAAAAAATAATAAAAATAAAAAATTGATATCCTCTACAATTGCACACGAGGATTAGCTTCTATATTTATAATGCACGTTTACATGAGTTTGTTACAAAGAATCCAAAGATTATTAAATTCAAATTTCTTTTATTAAGAAAAAAAAAAAAATGAAGACTAGTTAAGAGCTGTTGCCATGATTTTTGGTCTGTCGAGAAGAATCTGGTGGTGGTGTTGCAACTAACACTGTCCAAAAGCTTATCAGAATCTGTCTTTAACACCATCCAAGGTTCTGTAAAGTGTGTGCTATAAATGGTACATTGAGGGTGTTGTTCTTCCATTTTGTGCAAGTCAGCCAGAAGCTTCCTTATGCTGAAATCCCATTATACCACATATTGCGTGATTTATTTTTTCACTTGAAGCTCATCACTTTTCAAATATAGCTGAGCTATCCCGAAATTTTCCTGTGCATTAGAGTTGCAGGTCAACTATCGTTTCCATGATTAACTCATCCAAAGCACTTTCCACCATTTCACTAACCAAATCTTCAACGTCGGTTCGGATGTCTAGCCATGTCCCGGATCTTCTCAAGTCATTTCCAATGAGCTGGTCCAATGTTCTTGGCAATGACTCTGGCCGGAGGTAGCAATCGACACGTCTCGTCACCTCTCGAATCACAAATTTCTCCACTTGAACTGGTTGGAGACATTTCGGCTTGATGAATGACAACCAAGGAGAGGATCTGAAATTGCCGTCATACACCTCTGGAAGAACTTCACTAATGCAGTCAAAGAGTAACTCACAGTCACCACAGAATTGGTTGTCCTGCAACTTGACTGAGTTGAGCAAAGATGGATCAAGAAGATGGTGTGATTTGCGGGACTTAAAATCGAGTTTGTCCCAGTTCAGGCCAGAAGCTTGTAGAACCGCCTTTACATACTCAGAGATGTATCCATAAACAAATAAAGTGGTACTATTGACGTTAGGATCCAAGTGGGACTTCTGCCCCTCAGCTGCAAAAAAATGTATTTTTTGGGCAATAAGTCAGGGAAGGTAAAAAGGGGAAATTTTTATTATAGTTTTTGAAAGCATCTTCAATGCAATACTATATTAGAGTACCAATAGCAAACTTTCGCATGCCAGATAAATAAACAAATTAAAAAAAAAAAAAAAAACAACAACTCTCTACGACAATGCTATTTTCGGTGTTAAGTTTGGCATATGCTATACTTTGGAATTAAATTCGGTGCCAAATATAGCATTGGCACAGGCACTTGCATTGGAGGTAGTCTGCGTATGAGAGTGTACCAGATTGGCATATGGTGCTCGGTGGACTAGAAACATCAGTGAAGAACTGCTCAAGAACAGAAATTGGACTTGATTGATCTCCTATATCTTTAATGCTATCAGGATCCTCAACTCTTTGGACCCTTGGAGTTGATGGAAAAACATCATTTGAACATGTTGATGGTTGATCCTCAAAAGATGAATCCTGCACAACGTTAAATCGTTCTGCACTTGAACTAGTAATGGAGAAAAAACACCACAGAGGATAAAAGGAAAGAAATACCGGACAGCATGGGACTGTGTAAGAGCAATTTACCAGTCTTGAGCGCTTCAAATATTCATCTTCTCCATTTGTGTATGTTGCGTTAGTGTTTTGATTTGTGCTTCCCTTGTCTGTGTCACATGATCCATCTTCCGAAAGATCAGTTGCGTCTTGGCATGCGCTGTCACTAGTCTCCACGGTAGAGATTTTGACCAAACTATGTGATGAAGTACTTGCTTCTTCTGAGTCCCTGGTATCCGTAGTTTCTGTGGTATCGTTCTTCTCTCTACCATCTAGTTTAAAAGGAAATTCCATTGTCTTTGTTTCTCCTGATGATACGTGGCACTATTAGCTTCTAAAATCTGTATTTAACTTGAAGAAATATGATGGTTTGCTTAAAGGACCAAAAAAGAGTTCTAGAAAAAAACCAATGTAGAGAATAGAGAAAGGGAGAGTGAGAGAGAGTTTAGAATTTAGAAAGAGAAAATATGAATATTGATTCAGTATCACAAATCAAGTCTGCAAAACAATTAACATAGAGAGGCATTATTTATAGATAGGCAATTGTACTAAAGAGGAAACCCATAAGAATAGGAGACTAAAACAATCACTAGAAGCGATAAGGAAACTAAAGTAAATTCTAGTTACTCAAAATGAAATAAGACTGAATAAAATAAATAAATGACTAATATCTAGTTTCTATTTTTACGTCCAACATAATAACAGAAAATATATCAATTTTTATCTCCAAAAAAGATATTGTACCTCCGATGCTTGGATCAAATACAGGCAATTGACTCTTGGATTTCTTGCTATCAATTATGGCCTCTAGATTCTGCTTCAAAGAACTTGAATAGCTTATCTTATGTTCTTTCTGAAGGGCCCAATTATTATTCTCATAGGGCACTTGGCTATAGCTGTATGGGGAAAATCTCATTTGGCCACTAACGAAACCAGTTTCGGTGTCCCTCCAAGGACTATGTAAAGGCAAGAAATCATGTTCAGGATAAGAGACTGTCCTCTGAAAGACTTTTGGTCCTTGTTTATGCAAAAATTTATCATCCTCATTTATGCTCTCCACATATGCTCTAGATTCACTTCTATTACGACCGCTTTCACTAGTCGAAGCGGTTTCATGTCCGATCCTTGCTTTGAAGTCCTTCAACTTGTTTATCTTTTCTCTCCTGTGGATATCAAAAGAAGCCTTCTCCATTTTTTCCTTTTGTACATGGATTGTGTTGTGAGAGTTTCTTCTTATGATCTCCATACGTTTATTGGGAGAGCACTGTTTCACCCCATCATTTGACATCAAATGCTGATCTTTTCTGGTTACCCCCATGGCATGTCTGAACTTCCTTTTAATATGATCAAAGGAAAAATATGTGGGCCTGACACTTTGCAAATCTTCTTCAAAACTATGAAAAGATTGTGGAGAGGAACAATGACTGATGTTGATCTTGTCTGCCGAATTCCGCAGGCCTATTGGGCCAGGCTTTAAGAGTACTATTTCTGACGACTGAAGATCACTTCTTCCCTTGGAATGACATTTATTAGAATCTATAAATATTTTAGTTGAGCCAGGTTCTTCGTGTAGTCTATGATTACTCGTTTGGTGCTCCGAAATGTTGGATTCTGAGGACGATTTCGTCTGCTGCTTTTGTGTTTGAGAATCTCTCAAGTCTTCAATGTGTTTTACCAACAAAGAGTTGGGGTCTTGCAAGAGTTTTGAGAACAACCCCTTGTTTGAATTCAAAATCTCTAACGCATCCAATAGTTGTTTAGAGTGCTGGCTCACTCCATCTCCGCTCAAGTACTTTCCTTCGATGAATTTTCGGTTTACAATCGCCTCGGTTGCATCGTTCACCTTTAGTAACTGCGGATTAATTTCATTGAGCTGGCCATACCTCACAAAGTCAACATTTTTGCAACCACATCCTCTCCTTTTCTTGGCATGCTTCTTTTTGTGGGGTGTTTGTTCTGAAGCTGCTGATTTGAGCTTATCGAAAGATTTTCCCGCTGGCTTCGGATAAGGAGGTTGCTTCTGTTTTGCTGAATCAGTCTGACCATGAGAAGGTCTCTGAAACTTCTTCGGTAACTGGCCAAGTTCGGAAGTAGATGCCTCCTCCCTTTTAGGCTTATTTTCATGTTGAATATCAGGACAAACTAAGTTTTCATTACTATTCTGAAACAATTAAAAGAAAAAAATGCATATCAGAATTGATTCAAAAATCATTTGACCTGAAAAAGAACAAGAACAAGAAAATCATTTTAGAATGCAGACTACAAGAAGGGAAATTAAAAAGCCAAGCTTTTTACCCTTAAAAATTCTCCCCATTCTATAAATAAATAATAAAAAAAAAGATTATAATTGTGTGCTCACCCAATAATTGAAATGCTCACTCAATAATTGAAATATATATCTATATTATTGTTTTTAAAAAAAAAAAAAATTATCCCCGCACTAAAAAAAAAAAACCTAAAATTTTGCCTCTGCCACTACCCCTATAACCCTTTATTTTCGTCCAAAAAAAAAAAAAAAGTTTAGTGGAGCTTACATCTTTCCCTTGGAATTTCTCATCAAACTTGGTGAGCAAATCATTTTGCTTAACATCTCCATCATCTGCAAAAGTAGAAATGTTTTGAAATCTCAATCTTACTGAAAACGAAATTAGCATGGTTGACAAGAAAAGAATTGAAGCGAGAAAGGACACAGAATTTGAGTCTCACCAACAACATCAGATCTCTTTAAACGCTTCCTATGATCTGAAAGCAGCTTCCTATTAGAATTACCATGACGAAATTCAAAGAGGCTATACATACTCCACAAACAACCTGACTTGTGTTTATCACAAACCATTGGGCTTTTTGGCGGTGTTAGCCTCGCCATAATGGCTACTTTAGTTTCTACATTGCCAAAATTTCAGCATAAGAATTAGTTGAACGTGGCAGAGAAATCAGAAAATTGACAATTTCTGCAGAATCCAAAAGAGGGAATAAATAGAATTCAAAATTTAATTACAGCAAGTCTATTAAAAATAAAAAAAGAAAGTGACCCCAGGAAGCGACAAATTTCACATTAATTTGACGTGCATAAGAACAAAATAGAGACCATATCTAAAACTTTTTTAAATTCAAACGAAGTTTCATACCCAGAAAAATTCTCTCTGTTAAAAAGAAAAACTTTTTGAGGATGATTTGTAGCCTTGAGTATAATTGCAACAGAAAAAGGGAAAAAGATGGGAAATTTGGGTCACATTCACACAAAAGCCTGAAACTTTTTGAGATAGTTACTCATCCCTATAAGCATGTACATAATTAAAAATAAATAATAATAAAGAAAATAAAAACAACCCAGAATCAGATTTGGACTTCTCTGGAGTTATCAGAGCTTTTGGAGCAAAAATGGGTTAAATTTTGTTAAAAGCAGACATTTTCCCCCCTTTTTCTGTTTGTTTCAGAACAATTTCAACGTTGAAACCATCATAAACGAAATGTTAAGTACGCATTATGCAGAGAGAGAGAGAGAGAGAGAGAGAGAAAGAGATGTACTTGATATATAATAGCCTTATAGTTTGCTTTAGAAAGTAGAATACTAAAAGCTTTTTGCTTCAACTGAAGAAAGGCAATACTTTCGGCTCATGAAACCTTTTTTCTTTTCTTTACAGTATATCAATCTTGAAGTTTTCACCACTGAATCACAAAAAGAAACAAAAAGAAACAAAAAGAAGAAAATGAAAATGGAGAAAAAACTTGAGGCAAAGAAGAAGAAGAGAATGGGAAAAAAATTTGGTGAAAGGAAAAGATGTGGGTATTTTCTGAATTATTAAGGTGAAAGAGACACACAAAAGCAGAGGAAAGCTTTTAACCTGGTTGCTTTCTCACTTCTCTCTCACTCTTCTTTTCTTTCTCTCTCTAGATATACCTGCAAATCGTCAAAACCTCCAAGTAGCTAGCTCCTTCCCAAAATTTCAACCCTCTCTCTCTCTCTCTCTCTCTCTCTCTCTCTCTTCACGGTCGTTAAGCCAAAATATGATTCTTATACCCAGTGTTCTTAGATTTGAGTCACAAGAGACAAAAAAGTATTTAACTTTCCAACTTTTACAAACTCTTGTTCTTATTATGAGATGAGAAGAAAGAAAACATTGGACGGCCATTACAGAATTCTGACTCATATATATATATATATATATATATATATACATACAGATACAGGATATATATATATATATTTATTAAAATACAAAGGGAATTAATTATATTTTCTGTCTCATATATATATATATATATATATATATACATGCAGTTACAGGGTATATAAATATATAAAAAACAAATTAAGGACCATTCTATACCTTAACGTGTGAAAGTTAAGAAATTTAGTTTAATATATATAATATATAACAGAAAATAGCAAACAAATATTACTCACTATTTATTTTATTAAATTTTACTTCACTTTGAGTAATAACTAGTTAATTTCCTTATTGCTTCTAATTTCTCAATTTTTTCAACCAGAATAGTTAATTTCCTCATCGTTTCTAGTTTCTCAATTGTTTCCTATTCTTTTTGGTTTCTTGTTAATGTTCAATTCCTTTATTTATAAATAGACCCCTGTATATGAATTATTTTTGTACTTAATAAATGATATTAAAATATTTTATTCATTTTCTGTTATCCGCCTTCTTATCTCTCTAAATTGTAAACTCTTTCTTTCTCACTCTTTTTCTCTAATTTCTATTCTATTTCTAACTCCATTCTTCTTTTATTTTACTCATTGTTATACCTTCAAATTAGATTTAATATACGAATCTATATCTTATTTTAGTCAATAATTGTTTTAACATTTAAATGACCAAATTATCCTTAAAAATAAGAGAGAAAATAAATTAAAACTTTTCAATATTACAAAAAAAAATCCATTTCAATGGTATTTTATATATTTTTAAGGTAAAAAATGTGAGTTTAAAGTTTTTTAGTTTTTTTTTATTTTTTTATTTTTTTATTCAAGGTGTGAAAATGTATAAATTTAAATATTAAATATAATTTAAAAATATATATTTAATGAGATCAAAAATTTAAAATATAATATATAAAAAGGTAAATATCCTTAAAAGAAATCCTGTACGTGAATAGTACTCCAAAGAGAGTCTTTAACAAAACGGTTGTGATTAGAGAAGAAATAAAATACAAAAAGAGTTGAGACGTGGACGTGTTATGGTTTAGGACATTGTGGAGAGGTTTTGTGAGACAGGTGACAAACACTGCGGTTTTGTCATTCAGACATAAACGTCAAAACTGGCCTCCTATCTATTGGCTTGTCAGATCAGAAATTGCAGAATTTCTTTTTAAAAAATGTCTTTTATTTTTTCTTTCTAATCTTCAGTTTAGACCTTTCTTATTACAACCATGGAAACATTCGTTTGTTTCAAGCATTCTAGTCTGGTTTTAAATTTAATCTCATTTATTTTATTAATTTAAATTTAAATTTTAAATTTTATTATGATAAATTTTTTTAAAAACAGTCACATTTAATTTTTTTATAATAAAAATTTTTAATATAAAATCATATATCAACTCGAATCAGTAAATAAAATAGACCATATAATTTTTAGTTCATTACGGTATCTTTTTTTAATAAAAAATTTAAATTTTAAAAATTAAAATCATAACTATAATTAACCAAACATAACTTTAATTTTCTCAGGAAATTTCCATGTTAGTGTTTTGAGAACAAAATTTCCACGTTGGTATTGAAAAGATTAGTAATGATTTTATCAGTTGAAATTTGTTAACTTTATTAAGTGGTAGTTGACAATTTGTTTTTTTTCAAGCTTGAATATTGCCGAAAAAATACCATATGAATACAGTCCAAAATTGTACAATATTTGTTGGATCTTTAGTTTTTTTTTCCCCTTTAAATACTATTGTTACTGCCACTTTCGGATCATCAAGTCATGTTAAAAAGAAAATTTACTCTTAATTAATATAATTATTTAATTAAAAAAATATTACTTAAAAGTGAATGATAAAAAGTCATATTCATACACTCTAAAAGTAATTGTCTCTTACCTCTATATTAAAATAAAATCACAGGAAAACTCCTTAAAAAAACAAAAGAAAATAATCACATGAGAACAAAAAAAAAAAAAAAAAAAGGGAAGTGCAGTCCATAATTGTACGCTATATGTTGGGTGACTTTTGTACTCTACCATATTCTCTACAATTTTTTTTTTTTTTTTTTTTGGCCTTGTGCTAATAAGTTTTCTAATGGTATTAGTATAATGAGAAAGACTTATGTAATGAGATATATATACTCAATCTTCTATATTAAATGAGAGTCGACTAATGTTTTTTTAGGACAAACGGTTGCCACAAGATGCAACTGGTCCCAATATATTGTATTAATTGTCTACGTATTGTTTGAATTTTATATGAAAAGAGAAAATTCAATCACTTATCTTACTTAACCTAGAAAATAAGTTGGTCAGATTAAAGGTAATAGTTGTGATTATGTGTCCTACGTCGCTGTAGCTTTTAAGATTTCATGTGATTTTATATGAGAGCTTTTTATTATAGCAAAAAAGTTAGATGTGATTATTTGTGAGAGCTTTTTACTGTAGCAAAACTCAAATTGGTGAAGTGAACGGGGCCTAAGTCATTGAAAAAAAGGGAATAATTCATCACCATAAAAAACTATTATAGCTAGTTTCGTCACATATAAATGGAAAGCATTTTAGTGAAAGGCACGTCTAAAGATATGTCAAATGCTTACTTTAAAACTTTGAATCATATATGATGAATCATGCACCAACACACACAAATATATATATATATATATATATATTGTGGACGGTGGATTTCTGTAAAGATTAACTCTCTCAGAACACTTACAGCAATTTCTCACCGATTAATTAAGAGTTTAATGTTGTAAAATAATATAGGGAAGACGAGAATTTATAGTGGTTCGGCTATATTTCTTGGCCTAATCCATTTGTGAATGCACTAATACTTTGTTGATTACAATTTTTCTAGAGTAGTAGAGTAGTGCGTAAAAAATTTAATGAATTCTCATGGTTTTATTTATAGGGCTTGTACACATGAGAGACCCCCTCTGTATTTCCTGTATTTCCTGAGGAGATCATCCTTGATCCCTTAATTTTGAGATTTGGTAGTTGTATTTTCATGATTACTGCTTCTAGGTCAAGCTAACCACCATTACCGGCTACCTAATTTCCTGACTTTGACAGTAGTAGTTGGTACAGTGCATCTTCTCTTGAGTTGACAGGACTATCTTTGGATTGGATCGGGCTGCTACCTCAACGTCGTGGCCTTTACCACTTCAATGGGGCTCTTGACGCACGCTATCTTGCGTGAACTCTCGACGTATGAAGGGCATATTAGGTACAGTTTATCCCTCGATGCCAGTAACCGATTCTCGACATGAATGTCTCGCGCTTGTCATCCAAAAGAATGGTCAATTCCTCCACCGTGGTGTAATATATATATATATAT